CTCTGACCCTTGCGAGGAAGTGACGAGCGATGCAGCAGCCTGCAGGGTGGGAGCCTAGGTGGCCGCAGAGGACGACTGTCCTGTCTCTGCCACCCTTGCCACCTACCAGTCTGCAGGACAGAGTGGAAGTGTGCCGGGGCTTCCTGTGCCCGTGTCGTGGCTGTCTTCCCTGTCATGTTCCCGGGCGTGGGGGAGACTGTGGTTCTCCGCTGGGCCTTGGCAGGCTGTACAGACTGTGCCCATCCTGGCGGCGCAGAGCGGCTGAGGCACCGGCTCCAGGGGGCGCTGTTGGGAGTGTTCCCTGGCAGCAGCCCACCTCCTGGCGGGCCAGGGTACCTCTCCCCCTCCCCCTCCCCCAGAGCGGGGTCGCTGAGAGTCTGCCCAGTACAACCAGTGCCCTACCCGGGTTCTCCTTTCTCTCTGCCTGCAAGGACTCAGCGTGTCCCTTCTTAACACGCATCTGACATATTAAGAGCGGTGGCTCTGGAGATTCTCCCGGGAAGGAGAACATTGGAATCAGTTGGGGGCGCTGGCTGACCCCAGATGGCCCTGCTTCCCAGGCTAAGAGCCAAGGCAGGTGCTTGAGTCCCGGCCTTCCCCGCAGACCCTTGCCAGGGGGCTCAGAGCACCCCTGACAAGGATCGGGGAGGAGAATCGCGCCCCAGCGATGCCAGGGCCCCGGCGCAAACTCGGATGTCCAGGAACTTGCTCTTCCACCATCTGTCTGGGGGCCCCCGACCTGGCCGCCGCCGTCAGGTGCCACCCTCAGACCCTCGTTCTGATGGCGGAGGGGGCCCCGCCCCAGTCCCTGGGGAGCCCTGGGCCTGGCACGAGGAAGGAAGACACGGGGTTCCCCTGAGAGGAGTCTCAGGGCGAGGGGAGTCCGAGTCGTGGGGGGAGGGTGTAGGGCACGGGCCAAGTCCAGACTCGGAGTGACCTGTGCTCTCTCCTCTGGCCCCAGGCAACTGGCCCTGAAGGCCCTCAACGAGCGGCTGAAGAGAGTGGAGGACCAGTCCGCCTGGCCGAGCATGGATGATGACGAGGAGGCCGGGGCCAGGGTGAACGGCCCCCCGCCCTCGAACAAGGCCCCTGCGCTCTCCTCCTCAGGGCAGGGGGCCGCCCCGGAGTCCAGCCTGATCACCTTCGAGGCAGCCTCCCCGCAGCTGTAGCTGCAGACCACCTTGAGTGCCCCCGACACCCTCTCAGCCCCCCGAGGGGAGGGAAGACGGTCTGCTGGGGGCGTCCACGGCCTCCTGCCCTTTCTCGCCAACACTACCCGGGACTCCGGCCGCCTGGTTCCCACGCCAGACACCCATTACGTCGGGCAGGGGCCTCTGAAGCATCGGCCACGGGAGGTGAGACTGGAGCTCGGCAGGCAGCCCCAAGCACGTGGCTGCGGGGACGCCAGTGCCACGGCTCCTGGGCCAGCCCTCACACCTGACGCTGCTTGCCGAGAGCCCCGAGCCGAGGCAAGGGTCTGCCAAAACCCTCTGGGGAGTCCGCCGGCGTGGGGCCGCGCACCCCTGCCCTCCCCGAGGAGGACCGAGTTCACGTCGAGATGTCGGTTCCCTCTGCTGCGGCCACGACTGTGTGCAGGCCGGGCCGGCCGCGGCCCCCAGGGGTCTCTACAGGACCACGCGGCGGGCAGCCGGGCCCAGCCGCGCAGTATCAATAAAGCAGTTCTTGGAGGTGCGCCTCCCGGGCTCTGTCAGACCGCCCCGCGCAGCCCCGGTCGAGCTCAGCTGCAGAGCCAGACGGGGGCTCGCTCTGGTGCCTGGGTACGGGCCCTGTGGCCGCTGCAGCTGGAGGAGCGGCCCGCTGCCCCGCTCTCCCTCCTGTGCCCGGGCAGGGAGGCTGCCCGGGGAGCTGCCGACGGAGGGCTTCTCTGTAGGGGACTGGTCTCGTCCGTGGCTCATCGCCAAGACGGAGTGCTCAGGGCTCGACACTTTAGAGACACCCAGCCCCGCCCCCATCCTGTTGCTGTGCAGGTCTAACCAGCACCGCGGGCAGCCGGGAGCCTGGAAGGGCACCCAGCTGCACCTTTGCAGCCACAGCCCGGGGGGCTTTCTAGAGCCCTCGGTGGCCCGGGGGCTTGCGTGCTGGGGCAGCTCTGCCCCTCAGTGAGCAGCCAGGGACAGAACCCCTGTCGCGCCCAGCTGGCCCTTTTGCATGCTGGTGGTCTCAGCGAGAACTCTCCCCAGCTCTAGGCTACTGTCTCCATCTGGCCTTTTCAGTCTTTTATTATTATTATTATTATTATTTTCTGTTTTTCCTTCTGTAATATCTGGACATACGGATACAAGTATGAGTCCAGTTACTGGGGAGCCGGTCTTGCAACCCCATCGTCGTCCAGACACACAGTCCTTGAGCTCCTCTGGGGTGGCAGGGGAAGGAAGGAGGGGGCAGTCCCGTGTGAAGAGCAAGTACAAATGTCACACACAGGACTCCTCCTGTCCCTAAGTGCCCCAGTGCCGGAGGTGTCCCTGTGATTGTAGTCCGGGAGGTCCTGGCCCCGTCTCCTACAGTGAGGGGCAGATCCAGGCTTCTGGGCTGAGAAGAGCTCATGGCTGAATCCTTTTGCGGTACAGGTAGGCATTGCTCACCTGGTTCATGATGACCAAGCTGGTAATGATAGGGCATAGCACAGCCAGGTACCAGACTCCCCCAGTGACCGTGGCAGTGAACCAGAGTGAGCACATGCCCAACAAGAGGCTGGCACTACCCAGAAGGTAGCCCACTAGCCCAGAAGTGGCATGGTACAGCTTGAGCTTGGCCAGGGGCCATCGGGGCAGCAGTTTGGGGTAGAGCAGTCCCACCCCACCTGAGCACTGCAGCACTGCCCACAGCACAGCCAGCAGCCCCAGCCGCCCATGCCACGTGGCCAGGTGGGTTTTGCCAAGCTGTTCCTTGTGGAGGACGACAAGGCCCAGGCCCAGCAGTGCACACAGCAGGGCCAGCAGCTGCAGGACCCAGTGGCAGCGTGCTCGGCCCTTCCGCGAGAGGGAGCGCAGCAGTGAACTCTCGGGAGAGAAGACCAGCAGTGCCTCCGTCATCAGGAAGGAGAACTGGGGAGACAGGGATGGACACAGTGAGAGCGCTGCTCGGCAGAAGGGAGGAGAAGTTTAGGTGACCTTCCAGGCTGCCAGTCCCTCTGGGCAGATTCCCCTCCCTTCCCTCCCCACTGACACAAGTGCCCATTTGGTAGGGCAGGAGGGGGGAACTCCACCTGGGACAGAACATCTGCCCTGAGTAACCCGCCAGAGGCAGCCCTCCATACTTCTTCCTCCGTGCTGTTCTGAAACAATGTCTGCTGTTACCCAGCAAACACAAGCTTTGAGATGTGGCACTTATAAATGATTCACAAGTTTGTTTCCCTGACACAGAGTGGATACAATTTCTTGGCAGAGCTGGCCAAGCAGGTGCAGTGTGTCAAGGAAAATTAGATGCATCACCATAAGTTAAGGTAGAGAGAGGGACACCCAAATTCGTTTTTTACTTCCTGCCTGGGGGTGGGTGAAGCCTCATTTTGTGCTTAAGCAAACCCTACTCCTTTGCCCTGGACCTCGAATACTCTGGTTCAGGGCCGAGCAGGAGTTTGAAGCATGCAATTCCAACAATCCCACACCCCACCCCTCCAAACATATCAAGTGACTAAGGATTCAGAGGCCACCCGTACCTATGCCCCCTCCCAACCCTAAGGGCTAGCCCGGTGCACTACTTACAGCGAGAGACATAAGCACGGGGTGCCAGGAGAACAGGCCTGGAATGAGAAGAGACTTTGTGAGGCTGGGGAAGCACCCAGCCACACCACGGCCTACGGGCCGAGGAAAACGAGCAGTCCCTCACTCCCGGCAGTGCTGCCAGAATGCAAGCCCACCCCCCCCAACTTGCTGCAACAAGCTGACCCCATACCTAGCTTCCCAGTCCCTCCTGGATCAGCCAGGCCATGCTTTGCCACTCCTCTGGCAGTCCCTCCCGCCCACTGCACTTTGCAAGAGGCAGCCAAGTGGAGCACCAAGGCAAGAAAAGAGAAGCCAGGTACTCCCGGGTCTGGCCAGGCTGGCAGACCTCCCACACTCATCCACTCCATCCCGCTTGTCCCTCCAGTACAGCATGTCCTTCAGCCAGCCAGGCCTTTCCCAGGAGTCAGACCCAACGGTTCCTATTGCCTCTGCTCCCCGGGAAAAGTAGCCCTTTCCTTCCCAGAAGTTAATTATTACTTATACTTACTGGAGCCAGGCCTGGCAAGCACAGCCACAAAGATGGTGAAGCCCAGGGCCACAAGATGGGCAGCAGCCCCGGAGGCGGTGCGTAGAGCTCGGTAGATGTGAGACTCGGTCTCCACAGAAAGGGCCATGGTCAACCAGGCCGGTGGCTGTAGCCTGAAAGCATAGTAGAGTAAGCAAGGGTCACGAATGGCCGAGTTGCACTCCTGTCACTGGAGTAAGCGTTGCAGGCCAGGTATGCCACTCTCTTCCAAGAAGTGGAGCTAGGAAGGGACAGTACCAAGACAAGCACCAGCAATAATCGAGGACTGCTGGCCTGTCAGTATGTACCTGCATCTGAACTGGCACAGATAACTGACCCACCTTCCAGGTAGGATGCGCTAAGCCGTATAATACACTACAAATCCCAGCGTGCACCACGCTGTCGCCAGGCGGGAGCGCTAGCCGATAAGACGTGAAGCACTACGGGAAGCGTAGTTCCCAGCTGCGACCAAATTGCAGCCTGAATCCCTACGCGCGCAGCCTCCGCACGTGCCGCTGGCATGCTGCCCCTCCATGCTAGGGATTCACCTGCCTCACCCGCAGCGCTGGCCGTACGCGCTGATTTCCTCTTGAGGAAGCGGGATACTCACGACTGCCCCGTGCCGCCGCTCCGTCGCGGAGCCGCTTCACTTCCGGGTGTAAAGACTACCCACCCAGGACTTCCTGAGACGAGCCCCCTCCGCAGCCACGCCTCTGAGCGCGCTGCGCAGGCGCTGTTGAGCCGTCCGCTTCTTGGGCGTGTGAGTGCGCAGGCGTGCTTGACCGAGAGCTGAAAGGCCTTGGAGCTTTTTCTGAAAGGTGTTCCCAGAGGCCAGGGCGCGACGATCTAAGGTCCCGGGGCCCTCTAGCGCCATGGGCAGCGGCTGCCGCATCGAATGCATATTCTTCAGCGAGTTCCACCCCACGCTGGGACCCAAGATCACCTATCAGGTGACATCGGGCTCGCAGGGTTGTGGGGGAGGGGAATAAGTACGCTTTCGGCAGCTCAGCCCGCTGTCTGGAAGCAGTGATCCCCATCCCCACCCTGCACGCTAGCCCGCTACTCCTTCATTCACGGAAAATATTGAACCGAGAGGATACTCAGACCCGGGTCCCAGGGTCCTGGCGTGGCGTGCGGAGCAAACATCGCATAGACAGTGGCTGTGGGAAATCGGGCTGTGGGGATCCAGGGGAGATGTGCCAGGTCCCGCGAGAGGTGGCAGTGGGTGGTCCATTAATATTCCCGAATGCATAGGAATTTAGCTGAGTGGGGAGAGATTGTGTCGGGTAGAGGGAGAAGCATATGCAAAAGCCTGGAGGCGAGTGAGAACATGTCATCTGTTGGAAACTAAGCAGTAGTAGGCCTGACTTGATGGGAGAGAGAACCGCTGGAGAAGAGGGCCTAGGTCCTGGGGGATTTCCTCCTTGCTCTGACAAGTCCTGAGGTGCGCTGAAGAGCCTTTGGCCACTCCACTCCGCAGGTTCCTGAGGACTTCATCTCCCGGGAGCTGTTTGACACGGTCCAGGTCTATATCATCACCAAGCCAGAGCTGCAGAACAAGCTCATCACCGTGTGAGGCCCTCGCCGAGAAGACCCTTCCCGGGAGGAGTGGATGGGCTTGGGAGTGGGGGGAGCCTGACTCTGTTCCCACTTGTCCCCTTATCTAGCACAGCCATGGAGAAGAAACTGATCGGCTGCCCCGTGTGCATCGAGCACAAGAAGTACAGCCGCAACGCCCTGCTCTTCAACCTGGGCTTTGTGTGTGACGCCCAGGCCAAGACCTGCGCCCTTGAGCCCATCGTCAAAAAGCTGGCTGGCTACCTGACCACACTGGAGGTCTGCAACACAGTGGGCTCGGGTGGATGGGCAGGCAGACTTGGGGAAGGTATTCACACGTCTCCGAAGCCTTCCAGACCTAGGAACCTGCCAGGGCAGGATGCTAGCCGGGGGTCCTGGGGTGTGCCCACCATGCTATCCATGCTCCTTCCAGCTAGAGAGCAGCTTCGTGTCCACGGAGGAGAGCAAGCAGAAGCTGGTGCCCATCATGACCGTCTTGCTGGAGGAGCTAAATGCAACAGGCCGGTGTACTCTGCCCATTGGTACGCCCCCAGTCTCTGCGAGGGCAGCAGAGGGTGTAGAAGGGGTGGGAAAGTGACAGGGGAAGGTGGGCGCAGCCAAGGACAAGACTCATGAACAAATTCGTGGTCAGGAAATAGCCATGAGTTGAGTTGATGATGTCCAGCATCCCGTGCATGAAGAGGGTGGGGCTGGGGCTGGGGAGGCCAGCAGAGCCCTTCAGCTCTGCTGCATGACCACGATCTCAATCTGCCACTGGACCTCAGTCTGTCCCTTCATACAAGGGGAAGATGGGCCCTACCCAGAGCCACCTGCCTGCCTCAGGGTTTGCTGGGAGAACTGGATAGTGACTGAGGCCCTCCTAGAAGAGAGCACTGAGAATGTGGGTCGGACCCCCCCGCAGATGAGTCCAACACCATCCACCTGAAGGTGATCGAGCAGCGGCCCGACCCTCCTGTGGTTCAGGAATACGATGTGCCTGTCTTTACCAAGGACAAGGAGGATTTCTTCAACTCACAGTGGGACCTCACCACACAGCAGGTGTGCTGTCCCTCCCTGGGCGTCGCCACGGGGGGCTGTCTACCTCCCTGGCCTCGTCCAACGCCCCCCTGCCCCTGCTCCTGCCCCGCCCAGATCCTGCCCTACATCGACGGTTTCCGCCACGTCCAGAAGATCTCAGCCGAGGCAGATGTGGAGCTCAACCTAGTGCGCATCGCCATCCAGAACCTGCTGTGAGTGGGGCAGCGGCCACCTCCAGGCTGGGGTCGCCGGTCAGGGAAGAGCCCCAGGGCCCTGCGTGTGGGAAGGCATGGCCCCCAGGAGCTGAGCACCGCCCTCTCTCCCAGGTACTATGGTGTCGTGACCCTGGTGTCCGTCCTCCAGGTAGGTGAGTCTGGGCTCCGGTTCCGTGGAGAGTGGGTCGTGTGGCTGGGCCAGACTGGGGCCATGTTAGACATCCAAGCCACTCACTCAGGCCCCTGTGCCTCCTGCTGCCCGTCCTCCAGTACTCCAACGTGTACTGCCCGACACCCAAGGTCCAGGACCTGGTAGATGACAAGTCCCTGCAAGACGAGTGTCTGTCCTATGTGACCAAACAAGGTAATGGTGGGCTCTGGGGAGGCCATCCTGGGAAGGGCAGGTCCACCTGGAGAGCTGACCCCTGGTGCCCACAGGGCACAAGAGGGCCAGCCTCCGGGACGTGTTCCAGCTGTACTGCAGCCTGAGCCCCGGCACCACCGTCCGAGACCTCATCGGCCGCCACCCGCAGCAGCTGCAGCGCGTTGACGAACGGTCAGAAGGGGGCTCCCTGGGACGCGCAGGGTTTGTCTGAGGGTTTGCAGGCACACCCTCTCTGTCCCTTTGGAGCCCTGGGCTGGAGAGGAAGCAGGGGTTTGCCGGTGAGCAGAGCCACGGGCGCTGTTCGTCCGGGCAGGCTTCCCGAGGGTGAGGGGTTCGGAAGCCAGTCTGGTCACTGAGACAGAGTTGGAGGGGAGGCTGCAGGAGAAGGTCGGCCTGCTAGAAGAAGGCCCGGCCCGGGCATCACCCCTCTCCCCCTCCACACACGCCCCAGGAAGCTGATCCAGTTCGGGCTTATGAAGAACCTCATCCGCAGACTACAGAAGTACCCCGTGCGGGTGTCTCGGGAGGAGCGGAGCCACCCTGCCCGGCTTTACACCGGCTGCCACAGCTACGATGAGATCTGCTGCAAGACAGGTGCAGGCGGGCAGGACGGCCGGGCCGGGGTGAGGGCAGGGCGGCCAAGGGCGCTGACCTCACCTCCGCCCCCCAGGCATGAGCTACCACGAGCTGGACGAACGTCTGGAGAATGACCCCAACATCATCATCTGCTGGAAGTGAGGCTGGTGTGGGGCTGGACGCAGCCGCGGCTGCTCTCCCCTGCTAAGCCCTGCATGGTGCATGCGGGCTCGACCGTCCTGTCTCACTGTTGACCCGCACTTCTGTAAATGAAGTGGAACATTTCAACCTGCTTGACTGAACACCACCTCTGAGCCAGCCGTGGGAGTGAGTGAAACAGCCAGGTTCCTGGCGCCTTGGAGCGCCATCTGGTGGTCAGGCCCGACAATAGACAAGTAAACGAGCGGGCTACTTATCAATAAAAACTCGAGTAAAATGAGGAAGCCGTGATGAAGAGTGGGTTGGGATGGGAGCCCGGGCTGCTCTGGAGCAGATGCGCAAGGAAGGCCTCGCTGAGCCCTCGAGGAGGAAGAGTGTTCCAGGGAACAGGCGCAGAAGCTCTGAAGCAGAAACCACTTAGGGGTGTGTGCGGAGCCCAAGGGGCTGGAACATCAGAGGCAAAGGGTGGAGGGGCAAGAAGCAAAGTCACGAATAGAAGAGGGAGCAAGAGCCTGATGCTTCCGTCTGGTGGCGAGCTGCTTCAGATGTATTTAGAAGGCCAGCGGCAGCCATAGAATGACCCCCGAGTAATGTCTCGTGTACGCCTTTTAACAATCCAGTAAAAAGGCTCAGCCCTGGCTGGTGTGGCTCAGTGGGTTGAATGCCGCCGGCCTGTGAACTGAAGGGTCGCGGATTCAATTCCCAGTCAGGGCACGTGCCTGGGTTGCGCTGGCCAGGTCCCCAGGCTGGGGCTCGTGACAGGCAACCAAACATTGATGCTTCTGTCCATCTCTTTCTCCCTCCCTTTCCCTTTCTCTAAAAATAAATAAATAAAATCTTTTAGCCCTGGCTGGCGTAGCGCAGTGGGTTGAGCGCGGGCTGCAAACCAAAGTGTCCCAGGTTCGATTCCCAGCCAGGACACATGCCTGGGTTGCAGGCCATAACCCCCAGCAACCGCACACTGATGTTTCTCTCTCTCTCCCTCCCTTCCCTCTCTAAAAATAAATAAATAAAAAATCTTTAAACAAAACGAAAGAAAACATGGGCTGTGTTCAGAAAAGGGAGAATAGTCCCATTTAAAAAATAAATAAATAAAATCTTTTAAACAAAAAAAGCTCATCAGTGACCCCCTGCGGGGTGACAGCAGCCTGGACTAGGGTGGAGAGCAGCTGTGGGCCCTGCGCGGTATTTCCGGGCCCCGCCGACAGGCAGGGCTGGGGCTGGGCACGAGAAGCACTGGAGCGACGGAGCCTCGGAGAGGAGCCTGGGTGCGGGCCGGCGTGGTGCAGCCCCGCGAACCGGGTCGGGGCCGCTGATGTGACCCTGCACCTAGGCCACGGGAGTCGCACTGTGGAGACCCTTTGATCCGCGGATGGTTGTGAGGCAGGCAACTTGGGAAGCCCGAAAACGTTGCAGTCCGCAGCCCTGCAGGCGAGGCGGACCCGCACGGCCTGGGGCAGGGGCGGGGCCCAGGCCTTACTGCGCAGACTCGAGCTAGTCGTTTCCAAGGCGGCGAGTCCCACGCGCTCCAGCAGCTCAGCAACTGTCGCGTCCCTGGCTTCCGCCCAAGCGCGTCGGTACCCCCACCTCTGCACCGGCTGCTGCCCGGGGTCAGCCGAACCTCGCTCTCTCTGTCCCAGGCCCCGCCATGGGCGACCTGGAGCTGCTGCTGCCTGGGGAGGCTGACGTGTTGGTGCGGGGACTTCGCAGCTTCCCGCTGCTGGAGATGGGCTCCGGAGGGTGAGGCAGCCGGATCGAGGGGCAGACAGAGTCGTGGTGGCCGAGTCCTTGAGTGGCGGGAGTTCCGACATTGGAGGGAGGGGATGCCCAGTAGGAGGGGCCCCCAGGTAGGGAGGTAAAGCTCTCGGAGATGCAAGCATACAGCCCCAGCCCCGCTGGCCCCTCAGGATCAGGTTACGTTTTCATGGGACTCAGCCCCCACCCCGGTCCTACTGCACACATGTGCACACACACACACACACACACACACCCTCTGGGGCAGGTGGAACCAGCAGCATGAGAACCTGGAGAAGCTGAACATGCAGGCCATCCTCGATGCCACGGCCAGCCAGGGCGAGCCCATCCAGGAGCTGCTGGTCACCCACGGGAAGGTATGCCGCCTTCCCCCGCTCCACCCCTCCACCCCTGGAGCCGTTCTTCCCTCCGGCTGGTACACCTGCCCTCCCCGGAGGAGGAGCGTTATACCTTTGATTTTGCACCCCTATTGGACACAACGCTAGCAGGTGCAGAGAGTGGGGTCCCCGGGGAGACAGGCATGGGTCCCAGAGCAGCCACGACTGCGGAGGAAGGGCCCGACCTCCAGAGGCATTCCTGAATAGACGTTCAGGCCGGAAGGGGTCCCCACTGAAGTGGGGGTGGGACTTTGGCGTGGAAGGCGGCAGCCTTCCCCTTAGGAGAAAGAGCGAGTTAGAAACCAGGATTGGCTTGGCTGGAACGGGAGCCAGGAGGTGGCACCAGCAGATGACCCGAGACATCACTTGACAAAAGGGTTCCTCTGCAAGGAAAAGGTGGAGTCCCCTCCTGGGGGCGGGGTAGGAATGGGGCCCTGTGAAGGGCCCTCACCGAGGGTAAGGCCAAGGGTGAGGCCAAGGCGCACGAGAGCCTGAGAAGGCCAGAATACAGGGACCGGGGTGGAGAGGAGCCGAACCGGAGGGCTGGTCTGAGAGGTACCTAAATGGGGGCAGAGGGGACAGGGGGAGCCGGGCGAGGACCAGTCACAGGAAGCATGGGAGGGGTGTCCACAGAGATGTTGGGGACAGCTAGAAATGAAGGTCAGGGTGCAGGGGAGAGGTCAGGAAGGTATTCATGGGCCATAGGAGAGTCTAGCGGCCCAGGGGAGTTTGAGGAGAGCCGGGCTGGGCCGAGCCAGGGATGGAAAGGTTGCCAGGCCCAGGTCAGCCCCCTCACCCCTGCCCCCTCGCCTCCCCTCGAAGGTCCCGACGCTGGTGGAGGAGCTGATTGCGGTGGAGATGTGGAAGCAGAAGGTGTTCCCCGTGCTGTGCCGGCTGCAGGACTTCACGCCCCAGAACACATTCCCCATATACATGGTGGTGAGCTGGCCCGCCCCGCACCCCGGGCACCGGGTCAGAGGGCCCTGGGCTGGAGAGGGTGGCTGTCCGCCCCTGCCCCCCTCAGCAGCCCCAGACCCCGTGCTCCTCTCTGTCTGCCAGGTCCACCACGAGGCCTCCATCATCAATCTCCTGGAGACCGTGTTCTTCCACAAGGTGAGGCGCCAGTCCTGCCCACTGCCTACTGCCCCAGGCCAGGGCCTGGCGGCCACGGGGGTTGTGTCTGAGTAGGGGGGACGTCAGAGACAATGTTTCCCCTCCACCTGAGCCCAGGAGGTGTGTGAGTCAGCAGAGGATACCGTCTTGGACCTGGTGGACTACTGTCACCGCAAACTGACTCTGTTGGTGGCCCGGACTGGCCGCAGTGGCCCCCCAGAGGAGGAGGAGTCCCAGCATAGCACCCCCATGCAGGTGGGCTGCGGGTCCCTGGGGCTGGCATGGGCTAGACCCAGGCTCCCCGCCACTCCCCCGCCCCCGGCCTGAGACCCTGTGCTCCCCAGGAGCTCCAGAAGCAGGCGGAGCTGATGGAGTTTGAAATCGCACTGAAGGCGCTCTCGGTGCTACGCTACATCACGGACTGCGTGGACAGGTGGGCGCCCCTGCCTGGGCCGGGGGCAGCAGCGGAGGACTGGGAGCCTGGGCCTGTCGCCCCTGCTTATTTCTCCCCACCCCCATCCCTAGCCTTTCCCTGAGCACCCTGAGCCGCATGCTCAGCACCCACAACCTGCCCTGCCTCCTGGTGGAACTGCTGGAGCACAGTCCCTGGAGCCGCAGGGAAGGAGGTAAGGGCCTCCTCCTCCTGCCCAGGCCCCAGCTTCCAGGACGTCCTCCAGGATTGACAGGGATGGGCAGTTTACACCCAGGCAGACAAACCCCGCCCCCAGCCCACAGGGGACATCAGGATGGCTCACCAGATGTGGGCCTAGACCCAAACTCTGCAGCAGGCAGGACTTAGGCAACCGCTACCGAGGACGCGCCACGCTCCGGAGCAAGCGGCGCTGCAGCGTGGACTAGTCCTGCGCCCAGGGCAGCGGTCAGTCCCCGAGCCCATGCAGCTGGCTCGCTCCCAGAGCACGGGGTGCCTGCACCCAGCATGCTGGTCCCTCCCCTCAGGCAAGCTGCAGCGATTTGAGGGAGGCCGTTGGCAGACAGTGGCCCCCTCGGAGCAGCCGAAGCTGAGCAAGCTGGACGGGCAGGTGTGGATTGCCCTGTACAACCTGCTGCTGAGCCCCGAGGCCCAGGCCCGCTACTGCCTCACCAGCTTCGCCAAAGGGCAGCTCCTCAAGGTGGGGAACGCCCCCCGATACCACGCCCACAGCCCCAGGACCGCTGGTCCCCCATCCCCGCTGTTTGCCTTTGCCCCCACCCACCCACCTCAGCCCGGGTCCTATTTCCAGACCTTGGGCCTCAAGTAACACAGCAGTTAGTGGCACGTGGGCCCCCAAGGCACCCCTCAGCCCAGCCCAGGCCCTCCCTGTGTCTGGACCTTCTGGCCAGCACCATTTCACACTGGCCTCCCCTGGACACCCCCGCAGCTCCGGGCCTTCCTCACGGACACGCTGCTCGACCAGCTGCCCCACCTGGCGGACCTGCAGGGCTTCCTGGCCCGCCTGGCCCTGGCTGAGCCCCAGCCCCCGAAGAAGGACCTGGTGTTTGAACAGGTGGGCACTCGGGGAAGGTGGTTGCTCGGGACGACTGCCCCCTTTGCCAGCTCCTCCCTGCCACTCTCCGCGTCTCTCCCCCAGATCCCAGAGATCTGGGAGCGGCTGGAGCGGGAGAACAAAGGCAAGTGGAAGGCTATCGCCAAGCACCAGCTGCGGCACGTGTTCAGCCCCTCGGAGCAGGACCTGCGGCAGCAGGCCCGAAGGTGAGGCCTGCCGGGCTGGCAGGCAGTGTGGGATGGAGGCGGAAGGCACGGGTGTGGGCGGGGTGCTCCCATGCCCCCGCCCACCAGGCCCAGCCAGGCCCTCCGGACCCCTGTTACCCAGGTGGGCCGACACCTACAGGCTGGATGTGCTCGAGGCAGTGGCTCCGGAGCGGCCCCACTGTGCCTACTGCAGCGCCGAGGCCTCCAAGCGCTGCTCACGGTGCCAGAAGGAGTGGTACTGCTGCAGGTGAGGGTGTCCCGGGACTTGGGCCCCCGAGCCCCACCCTCACACCCCCACACGCACGGCATCCTCACTGGCTCACTCGCCCGCAGGGAGTGCCAAGTCAAGCACTGGGAAAAGCATGGAAAGTCTTGTGTTCCGGCAGCCCAGGGTGACAGAGCCAAGTGATGGCTGCAGCCGCGGAAGGCCGACCACCAGCGCCATACCACCCAGCCAGAATGTGCCCCCGACCCTCGGGAACTCAGCCTGGTCTCTGCTAGAGCCCCCACCTCCCAGGTGGAGAGGGCAGGCGAGGCGGAGTGGTCGTCCAATCTCCCCCAGCAAAGCGCTCCCCCCCGCCCCCCCCACTTCCTGCCCCACCCAGTGGGTACGCTTAGGGCGCTGCCTCAGCTGCGGCAGGCTGCGGCCTGGGCGATGGGCGAGGGCGAGGGCCGGATGTGGGGACCCTCTTCCTCTTGCACGGTAAAGTTGGCCTCCAGAAACCTGCCTGTCTCTGCGTGGCCCTTTGCACTCCTCTTCGTCGTCGTGCGGGGGAGGGGAGCAGCTCTCGGGATGAAGAGAGGGAAGGACAGGGAGGGCGGGGACTCGGAGACAGTCCCCCACCGCTGCCCCCTCCTCCCCTCTCCGCCTGCGGGGCGACACAGCCCCGGCGCCCAGGTTTCCATTGCACGGCTCTCTCCCACCGCTCTGCCCCGATCTCCGGGGCGGTGCTGCATCGGGGCCCGCCCCGAGGTCCCGCCCGCCCCGCTATTGCTGGTTCCCAGAACTGGCCGAGCCCGGGCCGACCGTCCGGGCCATGTCCGCTGAGCCTGAGCTCATTGAGCTGCGAGAACTGGCCCCCACGAGGCGCGCCGGCCCAGGTCGCACCCGTCTGGAGCGCGCCAACGCGCTGCGCATCGCGCCGGGCACAGCGCGCAACCCAGCAAGGCAGCCGGTCCTGGGCCGCGGCCACCGCTTCCAGCCTGCGGGGCCCACCACGCACACGTGGTGCGACCTCTGCGGCGACTTCATCTGGGGCGTCGTACGCAAAGGCCTGCAGTGCGCGCGTGAGTAGCGGCCCCGCGCGCTGTCGAGAGCTAAACGGGTGGTCACAGGGCAGCACTGTCACTGACGGACAAGTTGCGACGGAGAGGGTAGGCTGGGACGTCCCTGAGGACCAGGTCCGTTACCCTGGCCCCATCAGGGAAGGGAGCGTGGGCACGTTTTATGTCCTTGCCACACTGCACCTGCGTCTGGGGCACAGCCAGGCAGAGGCAGTTACCTGTGAATTCCAAGGTACTGGTTTCAAGTTGCATAGCTTTAAAGTACCTTGGTCCTTTTTGAGAAAGTCTTTGTGCCTGCCAGTCTCTCTCTCTTTTTTTAAGATTTTATTTATTTATTTAGAGAGGAAAGGGAGGGAGAGAGAGAGAGAGAGAAACATCAATGTGCGGTTGCTGGGGGTCATGGCCTGCAACCTAGGCATGTACCCTGACTGGGAATCGAACCTGCGACACTTTGGTTTGAAGCCCGCGCTCAGTCCACTGAGCTACACCAGCCAGGGCACCTGACAGTCTCTTAAGTCCGAATTTTCAGGCTTGCCCCTTCCCAAAGATTCACTCACCATGTCCCCTCCCAGAATCCCCTGGGGTGAAGGGAATTGATCCACCTATGGGAGGAGGCCTGGAAAAAGTTAGTGCCTTGGGTGGGCCCCCTGCAAGCAGGAATTTTGTTCTCTTCGTGTAGCAAATACCTATCACAGACCGAGTCAGGAGGTGCTACAACATAAAACACAGCCACCCGCACACCCAAGGCCCTTCTGCCCTTTCTGGTACCAGCAGCAAGCGGAGGTTGCTGTCCACACCAGCTGGAATCGCTTGGGATGCTTTTATAGCCGTCCAAGCCCCTCTGCCTGGACCCTCCCTCAGACCCACTGGATCACTCTCTGGGAGCGCACCCGCGGTTTTTAAAAGCATCTTTCTCATATGCAGCCTGGGCTGCAAACCACTGCTCCAGACCAGTTGAGAACTGCAGGAAGGTGTCCCAGGCCGGCCGGCCGGCCCACCTGGGTGTGCATGGGGACCCACTCATTCTGCACAGGGTTCTGTCCTGACTTCAGCTGGGAGGAGGCACAGGAGATGTGGCAGAATACAAAGCGTGAGCTAGGGCCAGGACATTGCAGTGTTCCAGAGAAATAAAGTGGCCGTGGACATGGGAAAAACAAAAAACAGAAACAAAAACAGGACGATTTCCACGTGGATCAGAGGCAGAAATAAGGAAGGCATCAAAGATGAGCTGGGGTTTCTTGCCTCATATGACTGGTAGACTAGTAGCAGTCTTCGTTTGCCGAGATGAGGAACTCTGGCGAGGGTAGGGTGAGGTGGAAGAAAAGGGAGTTACATTTCGGCCACGTTCGGTCGGAATGTCTGTTAGACACCCGAGTTAAGGTACAGACACACAGGGCTTGGTCTGAGGGTAGAAGCCAGTGAGGGACGCCTTGGAGGTGGGGTGAGTGCGCAGAGCAGGGCAGTGACGGAGACCGAGCCCCCGTGACACTCCGCCATGAGATCTGGGCGTTGAGACAGAAGGAAAGGAGCTCAGCAGGAGCTGTGGGGAAGCAGGAGGAAACCGAGGTCGTGGGGGCCCTCGGAAGCGAGGGGCGCAGCATCAAATGTTGCTGAGGAGGTGAGGATGGAGAATGGACCGCAGGATTCGGCGGTGTTCGGGCTGCTGGGGACCCTGACCATGACAGTCTCCTGGAGGGCGGGGCAGGCCTGACCGCCACGGGTAGGGAGAGTGAAGGCCAGGAATGAGTGCGGGTAGATCAGAGTTGACACCTCCGGGAGCAGTACAGACAGATAACTAGAGGGGGACAGGAGTTGAAGCATTGCTCTTCCCTTCTTCAAGGGCAGAGGGAGGGGCTGACGATGTGGAAGGGGTAAGTTCCGCCCTAGGAGCTAGAGCTCCAGCTGTTGAGCGAGCCTGGATCCTTCACCGCCTGAGGCCTTCCTGCCAGTTTGCAGAAGCAGGGAGGGGGCGGCGGGGTGGGGTGGGGGGGTAACACTAGAATCTGTGTAGCAGTGGGCGGGAACCGGGCCTCAAGGGCAGTTAGGCAGAACCCAGCGGTCAACGTCCTTCACCCTGGGGCTTCTCTTCCACCCCTGGGACACCTCTTCCATCCCTGGGACACCTCTCGAAGGCAGCCGGAGCTGGGGCTCCCCTGCCTCACGGGTAGGCCTCTCTGCAGACTGCAAGTTCACCTGCCACTACCGTTGCCGCGCGCTCGTCTGCCTGGACTGCTGCGGACCTCGGGATCTGGGCTGGGAACCGGCGCTGGAGCGAGACACAAACGTGGTGAGTTTGGGACGGGGGCGGGGGGCGTATGTGAGCGGCCCCATCTCAGGCATAGCCCAGGGGTGGCCCGCTACGCGCAGTGATAGTTCTGACAGCGGATTTCCCTGCGGCAGGGGGCTAACCGCGCGCACAGGCTCGAAGGGGTGTCGGGAGTGCTGCCGCCTCCGAGCGGACAGCCCCAATCGCCCAGGCTCGGTGCCCGCGCAATTTCCGCACCTTTCCGCATCCGCATCCGGTCCTGAGGCCACGCTGGTGCACATGCGCACAGGCGCGTGCTCCCACTTGTTCCCTAAAGGACGTGGGACCTAGGGGCGGAGCGGAGCTGAGCTGCCAGGGCGGTGAGATCATTCCCTCGACTTGGCGCGTGTGGCCCCGCCCCTCAAAGTTTCTCCTCCAATGAGACGAGGACAGGATAGACCCTGCTGGCCAGGTTTCAGTGTTAACGGTTGCCGCGCGGACACTGCTCCCGGCGCACGCGCACACGGGCGCGCGCTCGCACTTGGGGCGGTGGTTGGCGGCTTCGGGCATCCAGGGCTCCGTGAGCTAGCTGGCCGGCTAGCTGGCTGGCGGGGTTGGCGATGGGCGAGGCGCCCGTGGGGACGCCTTCTTTCGAGATGACCTGGAGCAGCACGACAAGCAGTGGCTACTGCAGCCAGGAGGACTCGGACTCGGAGCTCGAGCAGTACTTCACTGCGCGTACCTCGCTGGTGCGCCGGCCGCGCCGGGACCAGGTGGGGACCTGAGCTTGCGGGCGGGGCGGAGGGCCGGGGGCGGTCGCTGGTAGTCCGCCCCTCCCCGGTAAGGTTACGCTCGGGGAGAGTTTGTGGGCATCCCCACGCTCCCGTCAGCGTGGGTACCGGACTTGTCGGGGGCCAGCCCCTGTGTCAGCTCAGCGCGTCAGTCCTGTGTGCCCGGGCCCTGCTCTCTGTCACAGACCGGTTGAACCAGGGGAAGCGGCTACGTGGCTTGGGGTAGACCAGGGACGGGCATTAGCCATCTATGACTAAAGCCGACTGCGCAGGCTGGACTAGGACCTCGATTTCCGCCTTCGGGGGTTCCCTCCCGCTCTGGGAAGAAACCGGGAGGAGGAAGTGGAGAGGGAGGAGTCTTCGCCGGGAATTGAGAAGTGTTTTTTAGGAAAGAGGCGAGGCATGGTTTGAGCCCTTCCATACGCACTCCTGGATGGAGCCAGCTGAGTCTCCACCTCTTGCCGGTCCTGGCCTGTCCCCGGCTGCTGGAATGTGGAAGATTCTGATCCCCACTCTGGAGTGGACCCGGAGTGCCGGCTTGCGAGCACATACGCTAAAATTGGAGCGGATCTGGAGATAAGGGGTTTGGAAATGGAGGGGAAGGGAGCCTCCTTTTGGACTGTAAGCATCCAGGAGCACTTTATCCACAAGAGGCGGGGGGAAGGCTAGATTGTGGAATTCCTGAGGAGGGGTCGCGAGAGGGGGGTTACTAATCCAGGACTAGAAGCTGTGGTGCTGGAGCCGCTGTGCCTCTTGGCGTCTCCTAGGTGTCCCCTTGCTCAGAGACCTCTGTGCTGTGTGCCATGAGTGTGGCTGCAGGCTCAGGTAACTGGCTGTTCCGGAGCTGGAACAGCTCGGGGCGGGGGTGCACCCCGGCCAGAGCATCAGAAAAGAGACAGGGGCTATAAAGCTCAGTGTGTCGGGCAGCAGTGGAGCAGAATTCCTTACATGAGCCAAGAGAAGGGAGTTGTGGATATATTTTTTAAAGATTCTATTTATTTTTTTAGAGAGAGGGGAAGGGAGGGAGGAGAGGGAGAGAAATATCAATGGGAGAGAAAGACATCAATCAGGTGCCTCTTATACGTGCCCTGACCAGGGACTGAACCTGCAACCCAGGCACGGGCCCTGACTGGGAATCAAACCGGCAACCTTTCGTTTTGCTGGATGAGCCACACTGGTCAGGGCTGGATATTTCTTTAGATGAAAATTTTGTACCTCAAAAGCTCAGCCCAAAGCTTGTAAGCAAGATTTGAGTGTGGATCCCTGAAATTTTCTCTGTTACTCAGGCCTGAGTCATTTTCCATTGTGGAAAGGTGAGAAAACCACAAGACACTAACCAGTTGAAAAGGAGGCTAGGGAGTCCCGAGTTGTATGTAAAATAAAACCCTCAGTCACTACGGACAGTGGCAGAGTGGAGAGTGGGTCGCTGTGGGATGGGAAATTCCGTGGTCCTGCTGTGCACCCCTCTGGGTTGGCGGATGGAATCCTCCTCCACTTCGGAACTTCGAAAAGAAACTTCCTCCTCTAAAATCCTGGTGGGGCAGTCCAGCACCTCCAGTCCAGGTCCCTTGTTTTATGAGTATGTAAACCCAAGGAGGTTCACCTGGAGAAGGCAAGGGGCTGGAGCGGAAGTCACTGCATCCTAGGTGGGGGGGGCCCCGGAACAACTGGGGAAGGGAAGAGGGAAGAGCAAGTCTTCTCACTCCCGGGCTGGAGCTCAGAGCCATCACAGGGAAGGGAGATAAGTCAGTGCCATTCCTGTGCCTACCCCCGTACCGTGAACAGAACTCTCTCCCTTCCTGCCCTGGCACCCCTCTCACCCTGGCGCTCCTCCCTGGGGCACTCCTTCCCGTCCCCAGCCTCTCCTTGGGCCTGAACACACCCTCTCTGTACTCCTGGCCTCCAGCCCGCTTTCACCCCCATTTTCCAGAGTCCACAGCATTCGTTCTTACTAGCCTTATGGGTTTCCCACCGTCTCCGACAAGGTTGCTGCTAGTTGTCACTGCTCTGCTCTCCTCCACCCAGGAGCCCTTGGGAAACTTGCGGAAGCAAAAAGACTTCAGTTCCCGCCCCTCCCCCAAGACCGTTTTCCTGTTGGAGCCCCAGCCGTAATCCTCAGCACGGTGGACTTTCTGGCTGCTGAACGGCAGCATGTTCTAAGCAAAGAGCGAACCGCTGTGGCTCCACCCTATGCTCTGGTCTATCTCCTGGATCTGTCCCCATCAGCTGATTTAAACCCAGGGGACTCCAAAGCAGCAGTCGGGGGGAGCCTGGCTGACCTGGGCCCAAGGTTGTTCTATCAGAGCCCTTCCGGTGAGAACTCCCTTGGGACTTGGGACTTGGGACAAGGCGTTAGTCAGCTGTGATGTCAGCTTTGCCTGTGACCCTCCCATTCCAATCAGGCCTATCTGACCTCAACAGGAAAGGATGTAAGGCTGACGCAATGGGACCCAGGGCGCTGGGTAGAAGAACGTTCCTTCAGTGCCCTGACTGCCCTGGTCCATACTCCACCTTTCCGATAAGAATCCAATTCCTGGGGAAGTGCAGGAGGGGCTGAGGGGCAGAGCTGAAATGTTTGCCCTGAACGCCCACACAGCAGGGAGGAGGCGCACAAACCTGCCTGCTGGGTGCTGGTGGGGCCAGCTCGTTCAGGGGGCTACCTGTGCAGCCTGGGTCAAGAGCAAATGGCATGTCACAGCGGGTCCTCACGATGTCTGAGACGTACGGGGCCAGCCCCACGTCCTCTACCGAGGGGCGTTCATGCTGGAGGCTGCCCTTCCCCTCCTGCGCACTGGTGGCCAGGCTGCGGGTGTGCCCCAGTCGTCACACTTTTCACCCTGCAGTGGGTCATGGCCATTTGCCAGGGCGGAGTGGCAACGTGGGCTGCCTTGTCCAGGACGCACGCCGCCCCGCCTGACTGAAGTGCCGGGACCCGGCTGAGCAGCTGAGGGGTAGCTCTGCTGTCTGTACACAGGAGCCCTTCCTCGGGTCCCCGCCTGTTTCCCTGGCCCCAGACCTTGTGCCTGCAGTTGCCTTGGTTTTAAGGTACCTTTAGGGCCTCGCCCGGACTCGTACCCCGTCAGGGGGCAGAGAGGAGCCCAGTGATTCTACCTTTGCTGTCTCCACCCGTAGCATGGAGAACCAGGCCCAGTGATGGGCTCTCCCCCTCGGGCTCGGGCTCTGTCAGCTTCCAAAGTCCACCCCAGGGGCCGTTTCTCGGAGCGGCCCATCCAGGGCTCGCAGCCTCGCTTGAGCCACGCATGGTGGTAGGGTGGGCTGCTTAAGAGTCTGTGCTGGCCCGTCTTTCAGGACGAGCCGGTGGAGTGGGAGACACCAGACCTTTCTCAGGCCGAGATTGAGCAGAAGATCAAGGAGTACAATGGCCAGATCAACAGCAACCTCTTCATGAGCCTGGTGAGTTGACAGCCTGGGAAGGGAGGTAGGGGAAGCCGGGAATCCAGCGGTGCCCAGGGGAGTCACAGGGGGTGGGCCCAAGCAGCGGTCCGTTCACGCCCAGCCTAGCCCCGCGGGGAATGGCAGCACCCAGATCTGTTCCTTCTCCCTGGAACCCAGTCATGGCTCGGCTCTCTTCTCCAGAATAAGGACGGCTCCTACACGGGCTTCATCAAGGTTCAGTTGAAGCTGGTGCGCCCCGTCTCAGTGCCCTCCAGCAAGAAACCCCCCACCCTGCAGGACGCCCGGCGGGGCCTAGGGCGGAGCACAGCCGTGAAGCGCCGCACCTCCTTCTACCTCCCCAAGGATGCCGTCAAGCACCTGCACGTGTTGTCACGCACTCGGGCGCGAGAGGTCATCGAGGCCCTGCTGCGCAAGTTCTTGGTGGTGGACGACCCCCGCAAGTTTGCGCTCTTTGAGCGGGCTGAGCGCCACGGCCAAGGTGGGCTTTCCACCGCACCCCTCCTTGGGTGAGGGCGTGTATGCACACACGCGTGCAGGCAGGGGCTGAGGGGGCTGGGCCTGCCTCTAATCGAACACCCCCTTCCCCCTCCCTGGCCCTCAGTGTACCTCCGGAAGCTGTCGGATGACGAGCAGCCCCTGCGGCTGCGGCTCCTGGCAGGGCCCAGTGAGAAGGCCCTGAGCTTTGTCCTGAAGGAGAATGATTCCGGGGAGGTGAATGTGAGTACACAGCCCCCTTCCTTCCTTGGTTGTCACGGGGCAGGCCTGACGGGCTGCAGCCACAGTGAGGCATGGCGGGGGCGGGGGGGGGGGCGGTAGGGGTGAAGGACATGCCCCGCAAAGCCGCTCCAGGAGTGTGGGAGCCTTGAGGCTGACATGAAGGCCTTCTAGCCAGCTGTCCCAAGGTCTAGGGCCTGTCTTAAGAAGCCAGACTTGTCTTGGTGCCCGGCTCTTTCCCGTCGTGGGAAGTCCTCAGGAGATGCAGGCGTCCGTCTGACTGTTGGGGATCCCAGACTGGATCAAAGTCACCCAGATGGACCCAGGGTGTCCTGGAGGCTCCCCTTCAGGCACCAGAGCTTTTTACCTAGAAGCTTTCTGGCTCCAAGGTGCTGGGTCCATGGAGTGAGGCTAGTCTCAGAGTGTGGCGTGGCCGTGGGTAACTGGGAACATCTGGTTCGGTTGCCTGTCTACAAGGTGACTGCCCTACTGTGGGACCTGTCTTCCACATGGACTTGGTGGGAATCCTAGCACAGACCGTTTGGGCAAGAACCTAGTATTGGAAATTCTTATCCCAGCTGTGTGACTGTGATGTCCTGGTCTTCTTTGGGGAGGGCTTGCTGGCTCAGCCATGCCTGTTGCAGCCTTTGCCACCCTTCTCCCTGCAGTGGGATGCCTTCAGCTTGCCCGAACTGCACAACTTCCTGCGCATCCTTCAGCGGGAGGAAGAGGAGCACCTCCGCCAGATCGTGCAGAAGTACTCCCACTGCCGCCAGAAGATCCAGGAGGCCCTGCATGCCTGCCCCCTGGGGTGACCCCTCGTGCCCCTGGGTGGAAGGAGAGTAGGCAGCACCAAGGGCGTGCGGTGTGAGTGTGACAGGGCCCATGTGGCCTGAGGAATGAGTGTGCATGGAGGCCCTCATCTTGCTGGCGGAGTGAACCCGGAGAACCGCAAAGGAGCTGGCCCCCTGCGTCCACAAGGTGTAGCAGAACATGGCTCTGCCCCCTCTGCCATTCACGTACTGAGTCATGGTGGGCCAGGGGTGCCCTGGGAAGCTGCTCGTCTTGCAGCAGGGGTAGAGCAGACAGAAGTCTCCTTAATTTGTGTCTCAGATGTGAGAATCTCGGAGACACAACAAATGGAATAGGGTCATGTTTGCAGGGGTGAGGACCCTCATCTATGGGGAAAGGTTGTATGTATTGGGTCTTGAGTGAGGTCTCGGGACGAGCCCTATCAGAGCCAAGAGTGTGTGTTCGAGATGAGTCAGGCAGCAAGGAAGCGTCCAGGTTTCCCCCACAGTGCCTGCTGGTTCTGCACACATCCTGGGGGCGGCGAGCTGGCTCACGGAGCAGCGACAGTGCCTCAGTGCCTCCTCCAAGGAGGACGTCCTGGACCCGGGGTCTGTGTGAGTGCGGGCACTGGCCTGGGACCATGCCTTGTTTGCTGGTCAAAGCCAGGGTCTTTGCTTTGGGTATTTTGATGATGTGTGTGAATGTATACTGTTTTGTGGCCTCAGCTGAATGCCTCCTGTGGGGAAAGGGGTGGGGGTGACGGTCATCATCAGGGCCTGGGGCCTGAGAAAATTTGGCTGAATAAAGATCTAAGAATCTGCATTTGGACTCTCTATTATGGGCCCTCAGCCCCGGTTGCCCTTTGTGCCAGTGGCTGCCAAGGGTGACGGACAGACACACAGAGCACCTTTTCAAGGTCACCATGGAACCAATTCCTGAAGAATTTGAGGTACAGATATGTAAGGCATTGCTTAGCACCCTGGGGCTCAGATCTTCGGGGCGGGGGGGCAACAATATTCGCTGCAGCCAGAGCTGAGGGGAACCACACATCCCGCAAGCTGTGAGAGGTGCTTCACCAAACATATACCGAGCCACTGCTGTGGGCTAGACGCTCACGCTCACGGCCTGGAAAACAGCCGTCCATTCTTGCCTTCACGAGTCACACCTTACAGCGGGTTTGGAAAGACAACTAGATTTGAATTCTTCAGACCTGAATGTGGCTATATGACAACTGGCCAACTCCTCAATGCCCCAGTTTAGTTTCTACACGTGCGACCACGGTGATCACGAAGTCGGTGTGGGAGCAGAATGAGGCTATCCAGGCACCGCGGGCCTGGCCTGGGGCCAAGCCCGGGAGAGCTGGTATAGGGGAACCCTGGTTACTGGGCAAGCCCACTGTACCTGACCTGGGGGGCGGCACGTCGGACACGCCGCACACGCCAAAGAAGCCCGCAGGGCTAGCCAGCCACCACTTTTCTGGGTGGAAGCTGCCCCAGCTGGGGAGTGTGGCCTGCCGGGACCTGACGTCTCGCAGTGCATGCTTGGATGCCTAATGTATGAGAGCGCCTATTGGTCCGCTCTGGGACGGACGACAGGGACAGCCAATCAGAAAACAGCGTGAAGAGCGTACGGAAACGGAAATGAGGTTTCCGTGGAGACAGCGGAGCCTGCGGAAGACGGCAGCGGCTGTACCTTGGATCCGAGGCCGAGGCAGGGCATGGCTACGCCGATGGCCCTGTGAAAGCAAAGCGGCCGCGGGGTCCGCCATGCGCCGGCGGCCCTGACATGGGTGCCAGCGGCTCCAAAGCTCGGGGCCTGTGGCCCTTCTCCTCGGGAACGGGGGGCGGAGGCCCGGAGGCGGCAGCTGCTGAGCAAGCTTTGGTGCGTCCGCGAGGCCGAGTGGTGCCCCCCTTCGTATTCACGCGTCGCGGGTAAGGGCGCGATTCCGTCCCGGGCAGGACAGGAAGACGGCAGGTGCCCGCGTCATGCGTAGCTCCCGCGGCCGTATCTCCTGCAGCCGAGCTAGGACGAGTCCAGTAGTTCAGGCCCCCTTTGGAGCAAAGGATACGAAAGCCGGCCAGTAGGTTCCTGAAGGCCTGGCTGCTCTTAAGGTCTACTTAAATTGGGCCTGTAGGTTGTCCCTGGAGGCACCTTTATGCACGCTAGAGCTAAGATAGGGCCTGTCCGAGACTTGAGGGCCTCTTCCCTTTATCCCTTCACGCCCACCTTGCCGGTTGAAGGCTCCTATCCTCCCTCCCCCGATTCTTATGACGGGAGAATGACTCTTTGTTTCGGCTGTTAGTTACCGCTTCCCACTGTGGTGAGGTTGGACCCCTGATGGTAGGGGTGGGGAAAGCAGGACTGGACCTTAATGTTGGGGGTGGGGCCTACGGAAAAAGAACCTCACCCAGATATGGGCTCCCGATCTGGAGTACGGACCTCCTGCTCCCCAGAGATCCAGACAGGAGCAATAGATTGACCTGGCCCTGATGGCCCCCTGGGGACTGACACACGTGATGCTCGAGATTTGGCTATAAACACTTAACCGAGACCCAACAGTGGAGGTTTGGCTGCACCAACCACCTGGAGTGAGTGGGAAGAATGCAGCTTTTCTCCCTTTAGACTCCCCCCAGCTCAGGCTTTGGACCGGGGCTAGTACTAAGGCCACCATCCTGCCCACTCTGGAAATCCTGGGTAAAAGCAAGGAACGGATGCTGGAGTGGTTATTCTTGCTGAACGCACCAGTGAGAACGGCCCTGGCTGCCTGGACAACGTGCTCCTGTACAGCCTCTCTTCTTGGGCCTGACAGTAGCACTGGCCACCACCCCGCTTCTTGTTTGCTTCTAGTAGGCTGCAGACCCTCATTTGCAGGCATGTATCTTCCCTCCCTCCCTCCTTTTGGGGATGGGCACGCTTCCTGGTGGTCTATGGCGTTCACCGTGACGCGGTGTGAGGCTCCAGCCCAGCCTGTTCCCCTCCTCCTTCTACGCAGCTCCATGTTCTATGACGAGGATGGAGATCTGGCTCATGAGTTCTATGAGGAGACAATCGTCACCAAGAATGGGCAGAAGCGGGCCAAGCTGAGGCGGGTGCATAAGAACCTGATTCCTCAGGTGAGAGGCTGGGCAGTGGTCAGAGAGCCTGTGTTGAGCGTGCTGAGGCAGACCCAGGTGGGGCCGCTGTCGCGGTGTGGGCTCCTGGGGGAGGAGCTGGGAAAAACAGGAAGGCTTCCCGGAGTAGGGGCGCTGAGATGACCCTCACTAGCCTCTGTTTCCACGGCAGGGCATCGTGAAGCTGGATCCTCCCCGTATCCACGTGGATTTCCCTGTGATCCTCTATGAGGTCTGAGCCTGGGGGGTTGCAGGCCTAAGCACCTCCTGCCTCGGCAAGAAACCCTCAGGCTCAGGGCGTGGCTTCCATTGAGGCGCCTAGGCTGAAGCCACAATCCTGAATAAACTCCGTAGGCCTGGAGTCTTCAGCTGTGAGCAGGGCAGTTCTGCAATGTTGGCTGGGTGCTGGTTTGCGGACAAGAGGTGGCTGGTGGCTGGTGAGGGCTAATGACAGAGTCACCGGCCCACCTTCCCCAGCAGTCCCGACAAGGCACATGGCAGGGCATACGCTGATCTGGAACGCCTGGCCCCTGGGCCCTTGCCGGGCCTGCTTTCTTCCAAGTTCGCCCAGGGCCCAGCCCGGTTAGGAGCTACAGCACTTTACAAGGTCTGCCTTCTTCCAGCCCCTGGGCTGCGGGAGCTGTACACAAGTGGGAACTCCCTCTCCCCCACTCCCTTGACCCCTTCGTTGGAGCTTTTCGGCCGTTTGCTACCTCGATGCCTCCTCTGTTGGACAGAGGTTGGGGGCAACGCAAGCCTGATTCTTCCTACCTACCTGCCCCTGTGTTCCCACCCCGGGATGGACGGACGGACAGTCCGCTGGCCGTTGACAGGAGGAGGAGGGACTGGTATGGGAGGCGTCTCCCTCTGCCCCTGACCGGGCCAGTCCCACTGCAACGAGTTGTCCCGTGAAGTCCCCGTGAAGTTGTGCTTCCCTCCTCCCCCCATTGAGAGGGCACAGGATGGGATCAGGAAGGGCCATGGACGCCCGTGCCTGCCCAACTGCTCCATCCAATCTCCCTTTTGCACCAGCCCCCCCTGCCCCCCCACACACACACAGATTGAGAGGACACCGTCCACCACCCTGCGGCGAGGGACAGCACCCTAGGGCAGGTCCGGTCCGGTCACTCTGAGCCCACTACCCCCTCCCCTGCAGTGTGTCCGTACCCTCGGGATCAGCCAGGAGGAAGGACTGGAGCCCCTGGGTGGGGACACGGGAGAGAACAACCATAAAAGGAACACTTAAAATGTGAAAGTTTGTAAATAGTGCGTGATGCTGTCGGGGCAGAGTCTGATTTCTACGCAGAAATGACTTTTTTTTCTTTCATTGTTTAATTCCTTACTGTGCAAGCTCTGTGCTTCAAGACTGTGGGAAATAGTGTGGGGGGAGGGTGGCCCCCAGTCTAGGAAGGCTGTTATGTTATTTGTTCAGTTTCAATAAAATTATTTGTAGACCCTGCACACGAGAGTGGCATCCTCTTGGACTGCGACACCCAGCATCTAGACCGCCACCTGGCTCAGTAGGTGCCCCCCCTCCACTCTAGCAAGGCCCCAGGGTGCGCTGGAGGCCAGTCTGCGGCCATCCCAGCTATGACCAGCAGGTGGAGGTGTGTTTACACAGACCTCACCAGAGGGCTCCTCAGCCGGAGGGCCAATCAGTCTATATTGTTTTCAATAGGTGAGGGCCCTGGGATGCTGCTTGATTAGGGACTGGCTTCATCTGCCTAGCTTGAGGTGTGAACGTGACCTCAGATGGGTCTGGAGCAGCTGTCCTGTCCCGGCAGGGCCAGCTAACCCTACATGAGGCCACAGCCTGAACCCTAGGGGCCTCCAAGGCCCAACCCTAGGTGGCATCACGCCCTTGGTCTACTGCCAGGCTCTGCATCCCAAGTCCACCGGCCTCCTCCCAGGGCTGCCTGTGGACACCACCAGGGGAGGGGGCTTGGACCCCCATTCCAGCAGACAAAGCCCAGCCACCCAGGACTTCCTGAGCTCCCTGCCTCCCGCTGTCCCACCTGCAGCCGGCTGTAAGGCTGGTTCACTGCTAGGCCCAGCCCTTGGCCATCGGCCCGAGTCCCAGTTAGGGAGGAAGGAGGGAGTTCAAGCACAGACTTCGGGCCCTGGGGAGTTGGTCTGCTAGGCTTTTGGAGGGTTAGACTGTCAACTCGGGCAGCATCGCGCTGCACAGCCTAGACTGACAGCACTTCGGGCACCTGCCCATTTTCCCAATAAGATGTCAGGCCTAAGGCCACATCCTCCGCTGTCCCACCTACGGACTGCCCCGGGGACAGGCTTCTGCCATGCCAGATGATCTCCCATCTCCCGTCACCACTGTCGTAGGGCGGGAGAACTCCCTGTGCTGACCCCAAAGCTGGGAACAATGGAGGTCAGGTCAGGCTTCCCCCCATTCCCTCCCACTGGGCTGTGCTCACTTCCTTCCTGAGGGCCACCGGAGGAAGTGTCCCTGCCCTGGGACAGTCTGGCCAGGTCTTTGTTTCCCCAGGGGCCCTACCCTTGCAGCTTCCAAAGCCAGTGTCCCTTGTGGAGCCAGCACAGTGGCACAGGGACACCACCCTCCCATGCCACGTCTTGGCCTCCTTGGTCCTCGGGGCAGACCCCGGGGTCGGTGCCCACCTCCCCCGGACACCAGTTTTCCTCCGCCTCTGGGGAACGACACCCTGGGCATCAGAGAAGTGGGCCAGTAGGGGCA